GGCCCCAGGGGCATCAGCTCCTCTGCCCCAGGTAGTCTGAGAGCAGGAGCTCGGGGCGCAGGAAGACGCGGTGTTTGTTGCTCACTTTCATCTGCCGTTTCCCTTCGATGTCCGAACCTGGGGGCGAGAGGGAGCAGTCAGCACAGCCCTGTCCCCCCTCGGGGGTCCCGAACAGGGTGTTCCCAGCCCAGTCACCTCCCCAGCTCCCCACATTTCGTAGCGAGCACAGACTCCCCCAGCTCTGCAGAGAAGGCGACTGTCCCCCCTCCCCAGCCCCCTCCATGCGTCCCCACCAGTCCCACGTCCTCAGCGCTCTCATGCTGGTTTCCACAGCAGCTGCTAATGAAACACTCAGCAGCGAAGAGTCCTCCAAGGGACCGAGCCCGGTGCCTCCTCCCCGCCTTGGCAACAAGGCCTCCCGGGGAAAGGCACGGGCAGGGTGCAGGCACAGTTATCTGCGAGCTGCAGCGCAAGGTGGGGAGAGAGGAGGGAGGGAGGGAGGAAGAGGCTGAGCTGGAGGGGAGAGATAGTGATGAAGAGAAGGAAAAAACAAAAAACAACCCCCCAAACAAACAAACAAACAAGAGGCTCTTACTGGCAGAGACGAGGTCCATGTACTGGCAGAGCGCGTGGAGCAGGAGCCGCTCGAAGCTGGGGGAGATGGGGACGGGGTTAGAGCTGCGACCCCTGGGCGCTGCCCCCCCCCCGTCCCTCCTGCGCACCCAAGGATCAGCCATAAAGTGCCGCAAGCCCCCGTGTGGGGACCCCCGAGACATCCCTCCCTTGGCCAGACTGGGCCAATGTCCCCAGGCCTGAGCTGTGCCGAGGGAGGCCAGGGGGCTCTTCCACCCCCAGAGCCCGCCCCCCAAGCCTGGAGCGGTGACAACCCGCAGAGCCCAAGGCGGGGAAATACCTGTTGTCCATCAGCGCCGTGTAGACGGAGTGAGGGGTGACGGAGAAGAAGGCTAGCAGCTCCTCCTCCAAGCCCTCCAGCGTGCCCTGCGAGGGGAAGCGGGGTGTCAGCAGGAGGGGAGCAGCGGGGGACCCTGCTCAGACCCCGCGGAGCTGGCACTCGGCGCGTGTGCCACAACGTGGGCACAACCACCCGCCCTGCGCAGCCCCGCAGCGCCTTCCCCCTTCGAGGAGCTGCTGCCCCATCCGGGGCCAGGCCGAGCCACGGGCTCCTGGGGAGCCCAACAACCACCTTCCCCCGCCTCCTCTGCACGACCGGGCCCCCAACCCCCAGGGAGCTGCCGGTGGGGAGCTGCCACCAGTGGCTCCCTGGCAAGTCACCTGGATACCAGAGGGCAGGAGGCACAAGGCCAGGAGACATCTCCCCTCTCCAGCCCCTGAGGCAGGGAAGGACCCAGCCCCTGCCTGCCTGGTACTCTGGGAGCCAAAGCACCGTCCCCCGCGTTCAGAGCGGCAGCCGCTGGGGCAGCCTCGTCCCTGGCATCTCCTTTGACAGTCAAAGAGCAGCTCGGCGCAGCTCTCCGGAGCACCCGAGCCCAGAGACAAACAGCAGACACAAGTGTCACTTGAGAACAAATTGAGCAGAAGCCAGCGGGCAGGAGGAGCTGAGGCTGCTTTTAGAGACTCTAATTAGAGCAAGGAAAACAAACAGAGCAGGAGAACAGCCCCATTGAGAAGGGGAGCAGGGAGGCAGGCACCCCTGGGCGCAGGCAGCACAGCGCAGGGGCCACGCGTGGCGGCTCGGGCACGAGGCCACGCTCGCCTCTCCTTTCAGGCTTCATTGTCTGCTCAGCAGTTTATGCAGTTTTACCCCTTTCAAAATGCATCTGAGTCTGTATGAACAGCCTCGTGTGGACCACTCTGAAGACCCCAGAGGCTCCACTGCTGCCCCTGTGGGTGAACACGCTGGGCTTCCCCTGTCACCTGCTGCTCATCGAGCGGAGACTGGGAAACAACCACACAAAAATGTCCTGTAACTACCAGAAAAATCTGAACTGAGCCAGGAAAATGCTTCTGCGCAGGGAGCTGAATGTCTGTTTGCAATCAGCCACCACTGCAGAGGTCATACGAGAACCAGAGCACGTTCCCCAGGAGCTCATCAGAAATTCAGCCCTTGGCCGGCCCAGCACCCCCGCGCTGGGCTGGAGGACGAGGCCCCATTCGGAGCTGCCTGTGGGGCACCGGCAGCTGCAGCCCTGCCCGCCCCAGCCCCCCCCGGCTCACCATGGGGATCCTGCCCCGCTTCAGGGTGGAGCGCAGACGGCGGCTGATGCGTTGGAAGCACTCCTCGGGTGTGTAGGCAGGGTGCTCTGGAGCTGGAGGGGAGAGGGCAGGCGGGACTTGGACA